GACAAACACAAAAGATTATGGATTTTTTGTTACTTGTCTAAATTATACGTGATGATTAGGACAAAAATTACAACACCTTCTGATACTCAAGATAATATTTAGAAGTGGAGAACATAAAGGAATCTAAATGAAAATGAGGTTTCTACACCTTACTTCAAGTGGTAAAGTATTGATTAGTGATATATATCAATAGTTTGAAATACTCAAAGCAACCACTAGAAAAAAAAACATAAAAAGTGATACTTTAAAACACCATAAATAAAGATGGAATTCTAAAGTGGTTCAGGTAACCCACAGAAAGGCAAGAAAAGAGAAACAGAGTAATGAGATAGTAGAGGTAGCAAACAAAAAAAATAACAAAATTATACATATACAGTCTAACATATCATTAATTACCTTAAATATAAATGGTTATAAAATCAACTAAAATATAGAAATTTTTACAGGCTATAAAAACCATACACAACTACATGCTGTTTGTAGGAAACAGACCTCAATATCTATAAAATATGTAGGTTGAAAAATATATGCCATGCAAACATTGATTTTAAAAAGCTGAGTGGCTGCATTAATATTAGAAAAAGTAGACTCAGAGCAAAGCAAATTACTACAAAGTGGGACATCCCAAAAATAAAATACATGAATCAAAAACTGATAGAGCTGAAAGAAATAAACATCCATAATTATGCTCTGGTTCATCAATACTCTGCTCTCAGCGACTGAAAGACTTACCAGACAGACAGTCAACAAAGATATCAAAAAGCTGAATGAGATAATTAACAGGACATAATTGACACCTATATATCTATATATTCCTATTATATTTATCAAGCAACAACACAGGATTCACCTTTTTTTCAAGTGCCCATGAAATATTTATCAAGATAGACCATATCCTGGTCTGTAAAACAAGTCTTGATAAATTTATAAAAACTGAAATTATTATATGTTCTCTGACTATAATGTAATAAAACTAAAAATAACAAACAACAAAAAATTCTAAACATTTGGAAATGAAACAACACACTTCTAAATGATCCATGTTTTAAAGAGGAAGAATCAAAATTAAAAGTATGTAGAACTAAGTGTATAAAGTAAATGCAGCATACTAAAACATGTAGGATACAGCTAAAGGAGTGCTCAGAGGGAAATTTATTGCATGAAATGATTACTTTAGGAATAAGGAAAGTTATCATATCAATAATTTAAGTTCCTACCTCAACAAATTAGAAAAAAAGTGGATTGAACTCAAAGCAAGTGAAAAAGCAAATTATTAAAAGCATAAATCAATTAAATTGAAACAAATAGAATAGAGAAAAAGCAGTGAAACAAAAAGTGGTTCATTAAAAAATTAATACTATTGATAAGCCTCTAGTAAGACTGACAAAATTAAAAGACACAAACCACTAATATCAGGAATATAATGCTATTACAGATTCAGCAGCCATTAAAAGGATTATAAAGGAATGTTGTGACTTTGCTTATAAATTTTACAATTTAGAAGAAATGGACCAGTTCCTCAAAAGCTAAAAACTCAACCACGATGAAAATAATCTGAATAGTCCTATAACCACTAAAAAATTGAAAGTGGATTTCTCAGCAGAAACCTTGCATGCTGAGAGAACAGGGTGATATTTTCAAAGTGCTGAAATAAACAAAAATACCCTCCCAACCAAGAATACTTTAACCAACAAAAGTGTCCTTTGGAAACAGGAGATATAAAGACTCTCCCAGATAATCAAAAGGTGAGGGAGTTCATCACCATCAGACATACCTTACAAGAAATGCTAAAGGAAGTTCTTCAAGCTGAAATGAGAGGATGCCAACTAGTGACGTGCTAATTTGTGAGGTTAAGTATATAGTCAAATTTAGAATGCTCTGATACTGTAATGGTAATGTGAAACCCACTTTCACATTAAAAGACAAAAGTATTAAAATTAACTAGCTACAATAATTTGTTAATGAATACACAATTTTCAGAGATGTAAATTGTGACATCAAAATGTAAAGAGGGAATAAAAGGGTAAGGTTTTTTATGATATAGAAATTATTATTAGCTTAAAATAGACTGTTATAATTGTAAGTGATTTTATTTAGCCTCATTATAACCACAAAGCAAAAACCTCTAGTACATACATAATAAATACATACATAAAGAGAAAGGAATGAAGTGTACCACTATGAAAACTCATCAGATCACCAAGTAAAACAGAGGAACAAAAGAACTATAATACATTCAGAAAACAATTAACAAGGTGGCAGTTTACCTATCAATAATTACTTTAATATGAAATGGATTAAATTCTCCAATCAAAAGATGTAGAGTAGCTGAATGGATAAAAATCAAGATCTCAGGGAGAGTGAAGTTAGAAGACCAAAACAGAACCCTGAAATCCAATGATTAAAGATCACACATAGAGCCTCCCTACACTTCCCTCCGCCCAACACACATAAAAGAAAACAAGATCCAACTATTAGCTACCTACAGGAGACTTACTTCAGCTTTGATGACATACTTAGTGAAAGTGAAGGGATAGAAAAAGAGTCCATTCAAATGGAAACCAAAAAGTGCAATTAAGTCAAAAACTGTCAGAAGAGACAAAGAAGGTCATTATAAAATAATAAAGGGATCAGTCATCAAGAGGATATAACAGTTGTATGTTCACCCAATATTGGAGCACCTAAATATAGTAAAAATCGATACATCTGAAGGGAGAAATAAAGACAGCAATGTATTAACAGCAGGGGACCTCAATGCCCTATTTTTTCAGCAATGGATAAATTATCCATGCAGAAAATCAAGAACATAATATTAGATTTGAACTACATGTTAAACAAAACAGACCTAACAGACTTACATAAATATTCCATCCAACAGCAGCAAAATGCACATTCTTCTCAAGCAAGCATGGAACATTCTTCATGATAGGTCATATGTTAGGTTTTAAAAAAATCAATCTTAACAAATTTAAGGAGATTGACATCATGATGAGTATCTTTACCAACCAAAATAGTATGAAACTAAACTCAATGACAGGAAGAAAACTAGAAAAATCACGAGTACGTGGTAATCAAACAACATAATCCTAAACACCAATGGGTCACAGAAGAAATAAATGAAATCTTGAAATAAATGAAAATTGAAGAGAATTATACCAAAACTTATGGATGCAATAATAAAAGCAGTTCTAAAAGGGATGTTTATAGCAATAAATGCCTACAATAAGAAAAAGAAAAGATCTCAACTCACCTAAAATTATACTTCAAGGAATAAACTAAGCAAACAGAAGAAGGAGGAAATAATAAAGATCGGAGCAGAAATAAAAGAAATAGAGACTAGAAAACAATAGAAAAGGTAAATGAAACTAGGTTGGTTTTTTGAGGACAAATTGAAAAAAACTTTAATTAGACTAACAATGAAAACTAGGCTCAAAATCAGAAATAGACATCACAACAGATACCATAGAAATACAAAAATCCATAAGAACTACTATGAACAATTATATGCTAACATTGTTTACATAGAAAAAAATGGATAAATTCCTAGAAACCTACTGTGATTAAATCATGAAGAAATAGAAAATCAGAACAGTCCAATAATGTAAGAAGATTCAACCAATAACCAAAAAACTCCTAGCAAAGAAAAGCCAGGACCAGATGGCTTCACTGTTGAATTCTACCAAATGTTTAAAGAACTAGTGCCATTTATTCTCCAACTATTTCAAAAAATTGAAGAGGAAGGAGCACTTTCAAATTCAAAAATATGAGGCCAGCATTACCCTGATAACCAAAGCCAAACAAGGACATTCATATAAGAAAAAATTACAGGCCAGTGTCTGTTGAATATAGTTGCAGAAATCAACAAAAAACTAGTAAACTGAATTCAACAGCACATTAAAAGGATTATACACCATGATTAAGTGATTTTTTTTGCCTGGTATGCAAGGATGTTTTCAACATATGCAAATGGATAAACACAAATACACCATGATAACAACATAAGAACCAAAAACCATATAATCATCTGAATAAGTGCAAAAAAGCATTTGACAAAAATTTAATGTACTTTCATGATAAAAACTAATTTGTTGTACTCTTTATATATATACAATTTTATTTCTCAATTACACCTCAATAGAGATGGCAAAAAAATTCATGTGTATGTATTGTGTTGTATTGTGCTTACATGTATTGAGGAATAAGAAAAAGAATTGTAGGGTGGCTTCTGTGAAAATAGGTTTTGATTTTTACAGTTTTAATCTTTCACATTTTTATTATATTTTATTTGGGTTATATATATATATATATATATTTGAGTATAATAGTATAAATAAATGTAGTGTGTAGATTTAGACATTGCTTATGTCCTTTAATATTCATAATCCCAACATTGAAGCATGGCTTGGCTTGATGGTAAAGGAGCTTTTAAAAAAATAAAATTGGGGGAGTTTCTTGAACTCTGTGTATATGTTGTCCAGAAATGAAACAGAAAGATAAAGGTACTACAGAGAAGACCTGGAAAGGAAAAGTTTGGGCCCATGGATGCAGCTTTTCAGGAAAATTTGAATTGCTCCTCTTCCTTCCTTCCTTCCTTCCTCCCTCCCTCCCTCCCTTCCTCCCTTCCTTCCTTCCTTCCTTCCCGCCCTCTTAGTTGAGTCGTGACAAAGAGTGAAATCAAGCTCTAATAATTGGGTGTCAAAATCTAAAATGCTAGTTTCCAAGCAGAATTTAAAAACAAATATGGTCATAAGAAAGTATTAGCAGGATTATTCCTGGGGATTAGGATTAATGGAATTTAAAGAAGGGCTAGGAGAAGGATGTTACTTTTCATTTTGTACTAGTAGAGGAGCTCTTGAAATAAAATGCTGCAAGTGTATGTTTAGTCTTATTCTTTGTCAACACTTTCTTAGAAACTAACACATTCAAACTTTATTATATTCAATATTTATATTTAATATTTATTTATTTAACCTATTTATTAACCTCTGTTATATTTTCAGAACTGAAGGCAGAAGCTAGTCTAATGGACCAGATGAGTAGTTGTGATAGTTCATCAGATTCTAAAAGTTCATCATCTTCAAGCAGTGAGGATAGTTCCAGTGACTCAGAAGATGAAGAATACAGATCCTCTCCTTCCGATCCAGGGAATTATATTTCAGGACATCCTACCATGTCTGCCATGGCGCATTGCAGAATTCCCGATATAGATGCCAGTCATAATAGATATGACAATAGTGGCCTTCTGATGAATACCTTAAGTAAGTATATACAAGTAAGTGTACATGAGTATACATATATACAAGTAAGAATTGACAGTGAAGCCATACTGATTATGATCTAAAATTTGGATAAAAAGAAAGTCTCCTGTTTTATTCATTTGGTGTTATTATTACCTTCTTGTTGAATTAATTCATTTTCTTTTGATTGTGTGACATAATGTCTTACTGGTTTTTCACCTGTCTTTCTAAATACTTTTTGTTGTTTCCTTTGCTGGTTTACAAGTATAATCTTCTACTCAGTCATTAGAGCTGGAGTTCTTCATGACTTAATCCAAGGTGTTTTTTTTCTTTTCCTTCTATACTTGTTTCCTGGATAATCTCCATATTTCTGTTGCAATCAATAGATAATTTGTAATCTTGCATCTTGACACAGATCTCTGAGCTCTAAATGCAAAAATCCAACATCATCTTTTAGTAAAAGGCATTACAAATTCACTTTGTTCAAAACCAACTTACAGTATTTGGCTGAGTGTGTTTCCTCTGAGTAAAAGACAGGATTCCTCTAATTATGCAAACCAGAAGCCTGATTGTACTCAAGGGTTGACTTCCTCTCTTTCTTTACAGTATAGTCAAGTCCTTCGCCAAGTCCTGTTTGTTCTACTTCCTTAGTATTTCTCAAATTCATCTATTTCTCTGTATCTGTACCACTCACTCTTACTCTAGTTAAACATACCATTGTTTTCTGCTTCAACTATACAATGACTTCCTAATTGGCTCACCCCATATCTACTCAAACCCATTTTTTATCTCTTGTGTACATTGCAGCATATTGATTTTTTCATAATTCAACTGTAATTTGTTACCTCTTCTGCTTTAGACTTACTAATAGCTTGTAATTCTTTTAGGATAGCAACAAAACATCTTACATAATGGTCTTACTCTTTCTGTTACAGCAGCATTTGCCTTCTTTTGCCACTACTTAAATCCTTTCACCTACCCAGGACACTTATAAATGTTGTCCATTTATCCAGAAACACTTCTTTCTTTTCACGTAGTTAACATTTGCTCCTTTAGATTACAATTCAAAGTTTATTTTATCAAGAAAGTATTTCTTGACCTTCCTGATAAGGTCATATCCCCTTTTTATAGACCTTCAGAGTAATATCTTCTTTATATCAAATATCACAAAAAATAAATTTATATTCTATGATTTGCTCTCTTTGAAAGTATAAGCTTCAGGAGGATAGAAATCTTCTTTATTTTTGCTTTTCATTGAATACTAGCACCTAGCACAGTACCTGGTACATAGATGCTCAGTAAATATTTTTAATAAAGGCATGTAGGTTAATATTCTCTGGAGGAGAATAGGACTTTCTGTATGTTTAAAACTAATCTCACTGTATAAATCAATCATGATAAAGTAAGCAGTTAGGAAGGACTAGCTCTAGCCTAATAACAGAATAAAACAATAATGGAGCCAAGACTAGGTAACAAAGAGAGTAAGACTGTGAGTTAATTAGTGACCAGGAAAGAGATTTTTGAACTTCCAGTTATTTATGTCTTTAATGTTATTACATAACTTGAAGGGTAAAATTGGAGTATCTGATTTTTGTGGGGTTTTTTTGTTTTTATTTTCCCTTTACCATTTAGATCCCTTATACTCCCTTAGCCCCCTCAATCAATACAGTGTCGTCCATGTCCATGAGTCCTTTCTCCATTTTGCTCAGTCCCTCCACCCCATAACCTGCCCCCCCATAACTGTCATCCTGATTTCTATGAGTCTCTTTTCTTTTTTAATTAATTAATTAATTTTTTAAATCTTATTTTAATTTATCTTTTCAAATACATTTGTCTCTGCCTCCCCCCCCCCACTTTCCCTTGCCCCCTCTCTCCCTCATTACAGTTGCCCCTTTTATTTCTCTCCTTTACTTCCTTACAACCTATACCCCACCTCCCACCAGCATTGCCCTCCCCACCTCCCCAGCTTACTTCATGTCCATGGGTTGTACATATAAGTTCTTTGGCTTCTCCATTTCCTATACTATTCTTAACATCCCCCAGTCTATTTTGTACCTACTATTTATTCTTCTTATTCCCTGTACTTTCCCCCCATTCTTCACCCTCTGCCTCCCCTTCTGATCTCCATTTCTGTGATTCTGTTCCTGTTCTAGTTGTCTGTTTAGTTTGTTTTTATTTTTGTTTTTGAGATTCAGTTGTTGATAGTTGTGAGTTTGTTGTCATTTTACTGTTCATACTTTTTTATCTTCTTCTTTTTCTTAGATAAGTCCCTTTAATATTTCATATAAGGGCTTGGTCATGATGAATTCCTTTAACTTGACTTTGTCTGGGAAACACTTTATCTACCTTCCATTATAAATCATAGCTTTGCTGGATAGAGTAATCTTGGAAGTAGGTCCTTGCCTTTCATGACTTTGAATACTTCTTTTCCAGCACCTTCTTGCCTGCAAGGTTTCTTTTGAGAAATCAGCTTATAGTCTTACAGCCACTTCTTTGTAACTGTCTTCTTTTGCTGCTTTTAAGATTCTCTCCTTATCTTTAATCTTGGGTAATGTAATTATGATGTGCCTTGGTGTGTCCTTCCTTGGATCCAACTTCTTTGGGACTCTCTGAGCTTCCTGGATCTCCTATAGGCCTATTTCCTACACCAGATTTAGGAAGTTCTCCTTCATTATCTTTTCAAATAAGTTTTCAGTTTCTTGTTTTTCTTCTTCTGGCACTTTTATGATTTGGATGTTGGAACAATTAAAGTTGTCCCAGAAGTTCCTAAAACTCTCCTCACGTTTTTGAATTCTTTCTTCATTCCGTTCTGGTTGAATGTTTATCTCTTCCTTCTCTAAATCATTGATTTGAGTCCTGGTTTTCTTCCCTTTACTGTTGGTTCCCTGTATATTTTTCTTTATTTCACTTTGGATAGCCTTCATTTTTTTCCTCCATTTTGCAGCCATACTCAACCATTTCTGTGAGCATCCTGATTACCAGTGTTTTGAACTGTACATCTGATAGATTAGCTGTTCATCGCTTAGTTCTATTTTTGGAACTTTGATCTGCTCTTTCATTTGGGCCATATTTCTTTGTCTCCGTGCACCTGTTAAATTGGAAGAGGTGGAGCGTTAGGTATTTACCAGGACAGGACAACCCAGGTTGCTGTGTTATGACACTTTATGTCGGGGAGGGGTCTGAGGGAACAATGTCTGTTGCATGGCTCTGCGTCAGCTCAGTCACTTCCCCCAATACCCACAAGGAAATTGGGTCCTTCTAGTGCTGATTCCTGTGTGGGTGGGTTTGTGTACTGCTAGGACCCTGTGGGTTTCTCTTCCAAACTCCTGTGAGACTAAGAGTTTCTTCCACGGCTGCTGCAACCCCCACAGGTTTTTACATCCAAAGGTTTTGAGGCTTTCTTTTCCTGCACTGGAACCCTGGGTTGCAGGGTCTGTCTCATTCCCCAGCTCTTCCTCCTGGTTTATCTGCACACAGATGTAGAACTGCCGGGTCCACCAGCTGCCAACTTGCTGTACGTCCTCTCTGCCCTGGCTGACTGTCTCCGCCAGTCTAGATGAATGTTTCTTCAACTCCTTGGTTGTCAGACTTCCATACAGTTCTATTTTCTGGCAGTTCTGGTTGTTTTTGTTTTTAAACTTGTTGTCTTTCATTTGGTTGTACAAGGAGGCAAAGTGTATCTACCTATACCTCCATCATGGCTGGAAGTCTGAGTCTGTCGGTATTTTGCTTGTTTGTTAGTTTGTTTATTAGATTCCACATATGAGTGCATTTATATGGTATTTGTCTTTCTCTGACTGGCTTGTTTTTCTTAGCATAATGGATAAATAATAGCAAAGGGTTTAATTCACTAGGAGAATAATTATGAACTGGTATGCCCATAATAATATATATTTACCGCATATGTATACATATTAAAATATGTAATTACATATGCGTGTATATATAAAAAACAAAAGTTGTAATGTGGAAAAGAAGGGGAAGAGTCAAGGTAAGGAACATGTATATAGGAACCATGGACAAAGCCCAAGTGGGGAAGGATTGAGGGTGGGAGGTGGGGGTGGGTGGGGCAGGGGAAAATGGTGGCATGAAAATGGAGACTAATGTATTTGAACAAAAATAATTAAATAAACAAACAAACAAACCAGAGGAAATCGAGATGGTGGAGGAGTGAATGGAAATCACACTGACCACCTCCCAGGACCACTTTGGAATTACAACTAAACTGTGGAGAAATCACCTGGAACAAACAACTGAACATTAGCAAGACAGGAGCCTTATAACCTTGGACAGATGGAAGAATCAGCTTTAACACAACTGGACTGCCACTTACCCTGGTCTCCAGCAAAAGCTGGGGTAGAGTGGGCTACAGATGCCTGAGAAGAGACTGGGGAAAGAAGATTTGGGGAGAGAACTGAGAGAATAGCTGGCGGGATCCAGGTGCTCACTCCTCCCCCATATGACAGCAGCCATCTGGCTCAGACAGACCACTTCCCTGAGTGGCAGCAGTATGAGAAGACCCAATAACTCCACCACAGGAGGGATTCAGCCCTGCCCTGTGTCAGACGCCTAAGCCTGACAGTAGATTCCTGGAAGTCTCTAACAGACTGCCTAAGGTCAGACACGGTCACCATCTGACATCATCAGAGGCAGGTCCAGAAAGAAAAAACAGGTCACCTACCATAGAAGTTCCAACCACAACGTCAGGAAATCAAAACAGATCAATTTAAGAAGCAGAAGCCAAAAAAAAAAGAAGAATCTCACAAATAACAGGAAGACAAAGAAACACCCCTCAGTGGAACAAAAAGAAGGAATCCCCAGAAAGAGAACTAAAAGAAATAGAGGCAAGTAAACCATCAGATGTTGAGTTCAAAACAGTGATTCTAAAACTCAGTGAGCTCAGAGAAAATTACCAAAAACTACAGGGAAACTACGAGGAGCTTACTGCAAACTATATCACCATGAAAAAGAACATAGAAACTATCAGTAAGAGACAAGAGGAAATGAAGAATACAATTTCT